TCTAGCTTAAGGCACTATAAACGTGAGTATTCGCATCCGCCATTTTTACGCCTTTTCTCACTCTCTTGCTCCTTTTCTCAATTCCTTGCTCTCTCTCCATTCCGCCGCTAAACTAAGAAGATTGAAGAGAGAACAAACAGTGGGGAAAGGAGTAAAAATGGCGGACGCGAATACCAACGTTTCTAGTGTTCTAGTTACAGTCGAACGACAGGGGAATGCTCGACTGTAGTTGGTTGGTTCTTACATTCTGATCCGGTTTAAACCCTCGGTGGAAACTAAGCCAGTGTGAACACAGTGACGAACGTAAGGTGCGTTCCGTATCGCGCATGATGTGCATGATGCATCCATTGTCCTTGTTTAACATTTGGTGAGCAACAAGGATAAACGATGCATTATGCGCATCATGCGAGAAACGGAACGCACCCATAGTTATGTAGCACTCACGATGCTCAGAGTGCCTCTAGATGAAAGATGAAGCACCGTGAGCATCATGATTACGTGACGTCAGAAATGCGGGAAAAATAACGGTTTCAAACATTTTAGAAAGAAAGGGCAAGATGAACACGACAAAACGTAATATTCAGTTGTAAGTAGTATACAAACGTGTTACATAGTGCTAAATTCACAACTACAAGAAGAAATTATAACCTCAAATAAAATATAATAAAGTTTGGAAATGTTTTTACGATGTCAGATCAGACATTTTATAATATTTTATAATAAACATTTGTCCTGTATATAATAGAAAAGATTAAGAGAACAAATATAGGAATAAATATTAAATATTAGAAATAAAAAATTAGGAAATGAATATGTAAATGCTTAATGGATACAAATAGGATATGAGACATATTATACATATTTTGTGAATCATATTTTATTAATTGTATTTATTGTGCGTTACGTTTAATCTCTATTCCTAATTTTTTCTTTTTCTAGTATTTAATATTTATTCCTATTCTTGATATTATTTCTTCTATTATACGAACCATATACATACGTTTTCCATTTACCTTTCAGTATCAGGTTACGTTTTCCATCTTATAAATTGTGTTTACGACCGGTCCAAAATAGAAGAACTTTAGCACGCTATTTGTTTCGGACCGACCATTAATGTCGTAAGCACTGATAGAACTGTGAGCGTGAATCGGACCGCGGCCCTAAACACAACGCGAGTTATGTGTCCGAGAATATACGTGAGTATATTCCCCCAACTGGCGTATTACTCACAGTTACCTTACATTTACAAATATAATATAGAAAAATCTAAGTTTTTTCATAAATTTTCATAATTTTTTTTATAATTTTGTTTTAAAAAAACATGTGATATATCTACTCTCGATGTCAGTGTTTTCGTTTGATGAAAATCTGTCTTCCGAGCCTAACTTTGAGCCTAGAAAACAGGAAAAAGTTGTTGGGGATCAGATCTGATAAATACGATGAGTAGTTAATTACCGCAATTCGTAAATTTTTGTTATGGCGATATTCGATTTTTTCCATTTTTACAAAAACACTGACATCGACTGGCATAAGTGACTCAAACAACAACTGAACATCTAAAATGACTACAATTTTCACAGATGTCATGGGGTGCGTTCCGAGTTACGCATGAAGCGCATGATACATTATTTGTTCTCGTTGTTTATCAAATAATAAAGAAGGATAAAACGATACTTCATGCGTAACTCGGAACGCACCCTTGCAAAACGTGTACGGTTTATGCACAATTTCTTCACCTCTAGATAACTTTATTCAAAAGATATTTCCCAGAATACAATGAAGATATCTCCTGGATAAGGTTATCCCATCGACATCTAGAATGGACCGTTGATGGCAATGGTGGGGGTAGAAAGACGATTAGAGTGAGAGGCAGGAATAATAAGATCGTTCTTTCTCTGTTTACTGTTGTTTCTAACTACCTGATTGGTTGTTGGATCAACAACAACCAATCAGGCTTCAGTAAACAGAGAAAGAACGATCTTATTATTCCTGCCTCTCACTCTAATCGTCTTTCTACCCCCACCATTGCCATCAGCGGTCCATTCTAGATGTCGATGGGTTATCCGCAACTTATCTGGTATTCATATTTGTGTGGCCCTCGCCACTGAAGATGGCGGCGACTCCGGAACTTATCTGGAAGTGAAGAAATTGGGCATTAGAGTCATAGATTTATCAGAGAGGCGCAACCAGCTTAAGGCCTATCGCACATGAAATGCATAACAGAGCATAAGCATAACATAAGACTGCTGGACCAATGAGCATCTAGCATAATGTCGCCATATTGATTTACATAAGATGCTCATTGGTTTAACGGCCTTATGTTATGGTTATGCTCTGTTATGCATTTCATGTGTGAAGCCCTTAAGTCAGTATGACAAAGGTGCTAAGGAGAGTACTAAACATGGCTGACATGCTATGAAACTGCCTTTAAACTATGTCAAACAAGGTAAGACGTGCAGGATAATGTGAGATAGAATGTATAGGATAAAATGAAATAGAAATATGTCACTAGTACTATAAATGGCTGCCAAGTCACGCAATTGGTCAGATTGCAACAGCGAATCAGAATGCATAACACCGGTTGCGCCTGTCTGATAAATATAGGACTCTAGTACGGTTGTAGTACCGGAATGGTTTTGACGAGTAATGCCATCTTCATGTTGAGGCTCAAAACTTTTCAAACGATTCTCGTAGCTGTACGTACTGTTAAAACATGTAAAAAATTCATCTTTTTCCGTCAAATTTTCCACGTTAAAACTAAAAAAAAACCTAATTTCTCTGAAAAGAGTCTTATAAAATGAATACGAGAGTATACTTTGTGTATAGTATAGTTTTACAATTTTGTTGAAATTTTGTTTCTGATTCTGTTTTTAACAAATATGACAAACTTTTAGCAGCAATTTGGTATATACGTAAAAACCAATTTAAAATAAAAAATAATACACATTACTTTAAGATTTTTAACATTTAAAAATTATTTATGTAAATGATTCAACACTATCTATAAAAAGAAAAAAAGAATAATTTTTTATCTTTCATTAATTTCTTTTCAGTACATTAGTACCGTGGAAGGTGTTCAGACACGAATTGAATCAGGTTCATTCGATCAGCACGGGATTGCAAGCAATGGCCCTGAAATCCACGATAGATTTGACATGTAATGATTATATCTCTAACTTTGAATTCGACGTATTCACGAGGTAAGTATTAAGAAATTATAGACAACTAATTAACTTTACCAAGCTTCCGTCACGATGATTCCGGGTCATTTTTGTATATTTTGGATATATTGTACATGTTATATGACTTTCAAGGCTGTTTCAACCGTGGTCAACTCTTCTACGCAACTGGAAAATTCTGGCTGTGACGCATCCTGGCTACGTGGCTTTCCTTACGTACGACGAGGTGAAAGCCCGTTTGCAAAAATATTGCATTACCAAGCCTGGGAGCTATGTATTTCGATTAAGTTGTACGAGGCTGGGACAATGGGCAATTGGTTACGTCACGTCTGACGGTGATATTTTACAAACTATACCACACAACAAGAGTCTATGCCAAGCATTATTGGACGGCTACCGGGAAGGCTTGTGAGTATACCCTTGAGTACCGGCTTAGTTTATGTGTTTACCTCCATATTCATGTTTACATCCATAAAGATTTCACAAATACATATTCGAAGAGTGATTTGCAGCTACTTATATCCGGACGGTCGAAATATAAATCCAGACTTGACATGGGCGGTGCAACCAACGCCAGAAGAGCATATCAAAGTAACGGCGGAACAATATGAATTATACTGCGAAATGGGTAGCACATTTCAATTGTGTAAGATCTGCGCCGAGCATGACAAAGATGTAAGGATAGAACCTTGCGGTCATCTTCTCTGTACTCCATGCCTTACAGCTTGGCAGGTAGCAGTATATAATCCTCTTACGTTTTATTGCGATCAATCAATGTTTCTGTATAATTTAGATTTCGATTCAATTTTACACCTAGATGTATAACATATTGCGATAAAAATATTTTACATTATTTCATTACAACAATAAAGAAAAAAAAATATATATATATGTATATCGTTAATTTATATCTAATCGGTTGCTTACAGGATTCCGAGGGACAAGGTTGTCCGTTTTGTAGAGCTGAGATTAAAGGCACCGAACAGATCGTCGTAGATCCGTTCGACCCGCGAAGAACTCACAGACCCGGGGCGCATTCGGCGTCTGCTAGTAACGCATCGACTCCCACGCGGGATCTCGACCCTGATACCGAGGTATCCGACTAGGAATAGCATCCAACTTCATTATTAAATGTGTTCTATGTGTAATAACATCCCTCCCTCATCGCAGAGAGTATGCCTCATTCTCGAGAATGCCTCATACATTTCACACGAGATTTCGCAGTTATTTCTACGGTCGTGTACGCGTGTCGTGTCATTTCGTACTTTCGTCATCACGATTGTATGCCGTACCTCATGGCAGTGATGCACATCTGACTCCCGGGCAACACGAGAATCATCCCCACCACTCTTGCTGTCTCGTTCCCTCTCGCGCAGCGGGCCAAATGTGCACCACTGCCTCATAGTGGGTACGCGGTAATAATTTTAGGCATGTAATACGTATCAGTGAAACTACTTGCTCTTCTTCCGGGATCAAGAGGACGTCAAATTGCAAGGATGTGGCTGTATGATTCTATAGAGTTCGTTGTTCTTTCCTTTTTTTTGTGTTTGCAAAATTACGGACGAGTCGATGGAGTGATTGCTCGATCATTAGCCGAACAGTTAGTCTTATCTATCGCGCAACTAACATGTTTTGCGAAATCGTCTATATCGCATAATTATAAAGTTCATCAATTACGCGGGGGTTCTCAGGTAAGGCTCGCTTTTTTTTGCATCTCATTGAAAACTATAAGCTGGTCCCTTATTCTATGACCCATTTTCTGTTATTTATGATTATGCATACGCAATCATAGCTTCCGAACGATTCTGTTTAACATACGCTGACAATGAGTCAAGAGATTCGATAAGGAATTTTCCGGATTTAGATATACACTCGTTTATTATAATGCGTTAATCTACCAGCGGAGAGCAATGTATTAGGCAGTATAGTTTCACATTTAATTACAAACTGGATTACATTTAGTTATTTCGCAAAAGTTTTTCAATTCACACAATTCATAATGCATGTGCATATGCGTATTTTAAAAGCGCTCTTTTTTTTAAGTATATGCATACAGACGATTTTGATGCCTGTGATAAATCTTTGTGTATATTATTTATGCATAATATTATATAGTTTATAAATAATTACATGTGGCTTATACATAAATCCACATATACGAAGCACAAAAAAGTTCTATAAAATGGATTCCACGAGCAAAACTTTGAATATAATCACACTACTAAAGTTGCATTTGTAATTTTCACCTGCTCGATAGATTGCAAAACGGATAAGCACGATATTTAGAAGCATTTTTCTTTTGAAAATTTGGAATGATTAAGTGACAAAATTTATATTACTTGCATAGTACTAAACAATTTTAATTATGTACAATTATGTAAAAATCTTTATTAAGTAAATTTAATTTTTATTATTTAAAGTATACTGTTAATTAACGGTGCTGTCGTTAACAATCGACAAACTACAATTTATTTTGAATTGCATATTAAATTCATTTATTTCATCTCATTATTATTCAACAGTCACAAGATCTATTTAAATGTTTATTATTGCACTTCTACATCTTCGGGTGTTGTGACAAACGAATGATTATTTTATAAAGAACGAAACAGCTCTATGACTCATATTTGAAAAAAAAAAATGTGTACTATTAAGTCTTTAAATGTAGCTTTAAGCGTTCACAATAAAGGACACAAGAAAAGATAATATGTGATGATCAAACAAAGTAGCATGCACTGAACAGCCGACTCGAAAAATCAATCACTATCATTATATATCTTGTTAAGATGTATTGTGTACCTGCTGGCGGTAGACTCGAATGTAATATCATGTTAACGTCATTATTATGGAAACGACGGTTCGTTTCTAGCGTTATTCTATATTATTTCCTTACGTTAAAATATTAATTTATTATTTATGTGTACTGTATCGAAAGAAAAAAATAGACAAGAAAAATGATTTCGATATACCAATCGTCGCGCGCTAAATCAAATGCTGTGGTATTATACGTACGTTTTTAATGCAAGATATCTGTAAAGTTTTGTAACGCATAATGCATGCAACTGAGGCCATTGCAGTGTAAGCAAGGAATCGATTTGATTCTCTGGCACAATTATCGACGGATTGTCAATTTAGACCTCGTTAAGCTTTATCCGGCTATTTTAGATTGTATTACGATCACGTAGAGCCCATTCGCGTTTTAGTTATTAGCGATTCGGTGAGAAGCGTTCGCTATTACTAATTGCGGAACCTTGTATGTGTACCGCGTAAGATCGGACCAATTCTCGTAAACGTAACTTTAGCATATGATCACTGAGTAGCGTATTATTCATTGTAAAATATTAGGGACTTCAGAATAATTTTTTTTATAATAAAATTGTATTGCCATTTATTTCGAGTTACTTCTGCACTTCGTGTATGCGCCACGAAATATCCCTTATGCTAGATTTTCTAGTTTCGTTATTAGCGATCTCAAATTGCCCCTCCAGCAACAGGAAGAAAACCCTCCGGACGAGAATACGATAACTTTGTTATATATCGTTCGCATGATCGTTTACTTTTATTTCATAATGTTATCCACACACTGGGGTCACATTGCTCTACTACCCGCTGCATGATCCAAACTAATCGGTAATGTACATATCTGACGGGGAGGAAGTCGTACAACAGTCGTGCGCAATCACAGGTAAGTGACAATATGCATTATGGCCGTCTGCTTCTATGCTTTGTAATTATACTCATATTTTTTTACTCATGACGTTACTCGCACTTTATTCATGATAGTTGCATCGAGTGAAAGAGAAAATTGGCGGCATTTGACGACATTCCCATATCGTTCGTGATGAAAAAACTTTTCTTCTCGCGTGATGATGAGTAACGTCACAGAGAAACTACTTGTCGTTGAAGTAGTGAAATGATTCTTTTTGCGATTTAGATTGTTTCTTGAATGATTACGCGTAAAAGATCTTTTGTTTTGTATCTTCATAGACCATCACAGCCAGTACTTGTACAACTTCTCTCTTTTGCAAGCGGATTATTTTTCGTGTAAAAAGAATCAAATGCTAATATTTGCAAAAGATAAAAGTATAAATAATTGACCAACCACTACAGCTTCAAGGCAGCAGATGGTTCATCGCTTTATTTGCTTCGACGAACTCTTCAGAAAGATTTAACTAGAGGTCATCTTGCGGAGAATAATTGCAACATTCTCTCTGTTGAAAGTAAAATAGGTAGTATAATTGTCATTTCTCGCGGAATCTCCATAATCATTATACTTGTTCTTTCACAATTTTTCATATATAATATCTTCTTATTTCAAAATTGAAATAGTCCAATCCAACGTTGCTGAAAAAGATAAAGCGTTATATGCAGGATGATTTAAAATTGATAATAGAGATAATATTATTGCTACAAGAGATTTTGTGTATGAAAGTAATTTATAAACATTAAGCAACCTCACCTAAATTGCGTGTTACGTAGATCTGAGACCTTATATTTGCAAAATCCTTTTTATTTTATTCTTTATACGAAAGTCAATTTCATCTTACCAGCGATTTTGTTTTGTGATATGTAAGATAAAGCATGAACTTTTTGATTGATATTTTTGTACTGATAGTGGTATGATCTAAATTCTGTTGTCTTAGATAATTTGATTCAAAGATATCTGTAAAATATAATTGTAGCGTACTATTAAAATTATTATTTTTATATAACAACTTTAAATCGTTGCGTTTATAGTAGAGGTATAATTAGGATTGTTAAGTTATTTAATTCAGTAACACTTTGTATACATATAAACGTAAGTACTGTCTGAGTTATATGACGAAATTTAGCATTTAACCGTTTTTTTTTCTATTGCTGATGTTTTAGGATATAATGGAGCTATGCAATGGCAATTGCGGTCTCATATGCGACGATTCGGACGAGGAAGATGATTCTAGTCCCACAAATTCGCCGGTGCCGCCGCGGAGAATTATTCCAAGTCCGCCTTTACCACCCAGGAGGCCCTCGCCGTCGCCCACACCGAACAATCACTTCAGAAACGGACGTCATCTGACAGTGCCGAAGGAAAATGCTCCGCCACCACCGTCAGCGGTCACAGTAATATTAAATTATACCGACAACACTCAGCAAAATAATAAAGGTACACAGGACAATTTTTAATGTTTAATCTGTATCGCCTAAAAGTAACAGATCATAATAAAAATATTACACCTATAGATACATTTATCGGAAGTAATTGTGGCGTAATTATATCTTTTTGCTAAACTAAAATACTTTTATAAATATAAGCTTTGTTAAATAATTGCTTCAATATTATTTATAATAACTCAAGATTAATATTACACCCAGATTTTTTAAAAAGTAATAACATAAGTTTAATAAGACAATATGTGCGATTTTTAACCCGAAAATAATTATCTGGGATATCTTTGTACTTTAACGACAAAAAATGCGAATTGTTATAATAAAATATTATTTTGCATGGTTATAATTGTTTAACGTATTTTTTCTTTTTTAATAATTATTTTTTATGAACCTGTAAATATATACAACTTCATTGGAAACCTGTAATAAAAAAGCATTATACTAATAAAACTTTGTAGGAAATTTATTTTTTAGGAATACTCTCATAATAAGCTATTTCACTAATTTAACTATTTAACTATTTAAGCTATTTAACTGCTAAAAAGCAGAGATTTTTATTAATGTAACGCTATTTTATTTTCGATCAAGTTGCATATTTAAAGTTATATAAAGATTAGTTATTAAAAAAATATATATATATTTCGTTTATCAAAATACTTATTAAAATTATAATATAAGTTATTTAAAAAAAAATATATATATATATACGAAGTGTGATCAAAAAGAAAGGTGACTTTTCATTTTTATAAAAAAATATTCATTTATTCATCCAAAATTATGTTATCCCCTTCAAAATAATCCC